ACCTAAGGCTAATACCGGATTCTTGTCCCGGTTCTGAGGGCTTGATCGATAGGAGGATCTCCATGATGGTCATCGTCCAGTAGGAACGGTACGAGAGCAGGCCCAAATCACTGAGTGGCTTCTCTGGAGACCCCAGCTTCCCTTCTATTTTACTCAGAGCATAACCTATGTAGTAGTATTGAAGAGATTTGCTTGTGGTTCAGGGCCAATGAGCGTATGAAACAAGGACTTAAGGGTTTCCATTTGTAAAAAAGATAACTTTGGGAAAGAATGCTTGCAGAGGGTGGGTAATGAGTCCACCGGCGGACTGCACAGGCATTTTTAAAGAGGGATCTCGATATTGCGAAAATAACTCAAAACATTGAGTGTTTTTTGAATGATCCAAGTAGTGAATGTGACTCACTGAACTCGATTAGGAATTTCCCATATCCCTTGCGCTGATAAGGCGGGAGTGTCAGGATACAAGCAACATTGTAGTCCTCGGAGGATTCTTTTTCTTTTGAAAAGTACCCGACCAAGTGGTAACCATAGGCATCGATTTCACAAAGAACGTAGAATAGGAAAGGATCCGTGTCGTAATAGAGGGTCTTGTGGTCGAGGAACAATTTAGCCAACAGACAAAGATGCTGTGCGTAAATCTGAATGGAATAAAGATAACAAAGTCAATGTGTGTTGACCTTATTTTTACGACCATCAATTTCAATAAAACTGTGAGGAAGTTTCCTGTAAATCTCGTTTCCAGGTGGATGGCGAAATTGACATTTAGTCTGAAAATTTGAGAAAGTCCCGACCTACCAGGTGCCGCTTCAGACATCCTTCGCTCTTGAGATACTTAAGGCAAAATTCACATATATAAATACAAGGCGCTGAGATCAATTCATATGGATAGGGCGAGAAGTACCAAGGCTTGATTTTGTGGCGTCCAATTTGTATCCACTCAATGTTACGTATTCGTGTAACAACGTCTTGTTCATGATGGCTGGATATCATGCTTCCTGTTTGACGAGGTACTACTTGTGACTTTGGTCTGTCTGGTTCATCTCTAGATTCCATGGTTTGCGCAGGAGTCTCATCGTCAGAGTGTCGTTTTCTTTTAAGCTGTAGAGCACCAGTAGGATTGATACGAGTCTTCGGAGACAGAATCTGTAACTACGGTAAATAAAGAACCCCATACGTGTTCATTCTCAGTAGGATCTTCAGTAGTGACAGAGAATTTTACGGTCGGATCCGCCGTAGATAGGACAGAAAGCGATGCCGATGAGCCATCACGAGGGAGCTTCTTGGAAGGATATTCCAACTTATCAAAATCGATTCTGCTTTGTTCTACCCACTCATCCAGACGCTTATTAACTATTAAACCAAGGTAACGCCGATATGCACAAGATTACAGTCGTCGAAATGCACATAGTAAATAAATCCACTTTCCGTCTTTTTAATGCTTAGAATTTCGGCGTAGTCTGCAAAGAGTTACAAAACTCATCGGTGTTACGATATAATTTTGACTGTTTCAGTCTGACTGGGACTCTACAGCCCTCCAAATTCTTGTGAAGATTACCAACGACCATCATGAGGTACTGACCTCCACTATCCACATACCAATTTGAAATAATCGCGTATGCTGTTGATGATATGAACGAGGGTAAGTTACATCGAAATTTAGTAGAGTGTAAACTGAATTCAAGACTGTGTGGTTTATAAAACAAAAGTCAGCGAATACAATCATTTAAGATCCTCTTCCTTGTAACTTCTTAAATCACAACTTGAAGAAAACTTGATTTCTCTAAGAAGGTTAGCATAAAGCTTGGAAACAACATAAGATCCGGATTTACAGGTGCAGTTAAGACGGTTGGTAAAATAAGTAGGGTAATGCGCAGATTCTCTTTCATTCTTGAATGCGACCTGACGCTGATCTCAGTGCTCCTCTTACTCCCGATACTACAACGTATTTGACGCCACCAGAAGGCTCCTGCGACCCATCCGTGGTTGTAAGTTGTAATACTTTGTTTATATAAGGACGTGGCATTCGACGTTCACTTGAGCATGTGTCTGACTCTTGTACACGTGGGCTGGCCTCCGGGCCATGCCCATGCCTTCTTGTCCCTCCGTTTTCAGAGTACATGTATCCGGCTGCATTTTCTTATTTCTTATACCAGCCAGGAGGTCTCGAGAAGCTCATCTAATGACAGGGAAAGCGTACTCGACATCTTTTAAATGAATTCTAGGTATAAAGTGCTTTCGAAGACCTTCTGCTCCGGTCAAGTTGGGTCCCTCTTTGCAGCTTGTTCTTCGTTGGTGGTTTACCGAAAGCGACATAGTGTCCGGGAAAACCCATTGCCCAACAGACACCGCTGTCTCACAGGTATCCTACGTTTGTGTTGCTAAACTTTGTCAATTAACCGACTGGTTTCCGGAAAAGAAGAGTACGAACAAGCCGACGAGCATTGGTTCGATCTGATGGTGCGATGGTTCAGTACCTACAAATCGCACGGGATCTGGAGATGTATGTCGCTTGTTCTTGGTGTTGATGCTCTGGGTATGGGTATCTATGCGCCCAATAATCTGTTGGACCCCAAAATCAGGTTCTCTTGTCCAAAAAGTCGAAACCTCTCTTTTCACCAAAAGAAGGTTATAATCCAATCAGCAGAAAAGACTGCAAAGGAGTTCGACGGTCTTGGTGGACAAATCCAAGGTTAATAATTGCATTCTGGCATTGTACACTGGCAATTATTAGCTATAAATACATAGAAAGATGTCTGACTCTATCGAAATGCAGTGGATGAAGATAGAGGCGAAAGAGGGACATGAGTTGAAGGAGGCGCATTTATCTTGGTGACGGAGAATCTCTTATTCCCTCACACCGAAAGGATTT